GCCACCTATGACAGCCTGACCATCTCCTGGACCCGCCAGAATGGTCAGGAGCTGAAAACCCACACCAACATCTCTGAGAGCCACCCCAATGCCACCTTCAGTGCTGTAGGGGAGGCCACCGTGTGCGTGGAGGAATGGGAGTCCGGAGAGAAGTTCACGTGCACAGTGACCCACACAGACCTGCCTTCCCCGCTGAGGCAGACCATCTTCAGGCACAAGGGTAGGCCCGGCCCTGCCCTTCCCACTTCCCCAGGTTCCCACAGCCCCATGTCTCTGCTCTCCCTGTTGTTGGGAGCAAATCCCACTGCCCCCTGAGCTCACCACTGCCTCTCCTCCCACAGAAGTCGCCAAGCACATGCCCTCTGTGTATGTGCTGCCGCCCACCAGGGAGCAGCTGAGCCTCCGGGAGTCGGCCTCTGTCACCTGCCTGGTGAAGGGCTTCTCACCCCCAGACGTGTTTGTGCAGTGGATGCAGAGAGGGCAGCTCGTGCCCTCCGATATGTATGTGACCAGCGCCCCGCTGCCCGAGCCCCGGGCCCCAGGCCTGTACTTCGCCCACAGCATCCTGACCGTGACCGAAGAGGACTGGAGCGCAGGAGATACCTACACCTGCATCGTGGCCCATGAGGCCCTGCCCCACGCGGTGACCGAGAGGACCGTGGACAAGTCCACCGGTAAACCCACCCTGTACAACGTGTCCCTGATCATATCTGACATGGCCAGCACCTGCCACTGACCCCCTGCTGCCCCTCCTGGTGCCCGGAGCCTCAGGCTGGCCTGTCACTGTGTGTGTGCGTGCATACAAACTGACTGCCAACAAGGTGGGGTGCTGCATTCTATGAAAATTAGAAATAAAAATTTCCATTCAAAAGATGCTGGTTCTGAGTCAGCAATGCTCTCGCCTGCCGGGGCCATGGCTGTGCTGCCCCCACCCCGCAGACCGTCCTCCACTGCTGCCTCACCCTGCCTCACCCCTGCCTCCCGCCTGACTCCAAGGGGCTGAGCCCCTTGTGGAGCACTCACTGTAGACAGAGCTAGTGCTCCCCATCCCCCACCGCTGCTGTGGCACATGGGGGTGGGGTGTGCGGCACACACGTGCACACAGAGACACACACACACGTGCACAGATGTGGACATACAGACACATACATTGATAAGGACACACACGATGACATCCATGCACACAGACATGGGCACCTATGCACAGATGGACACACACTTGGACATAGACACAGGTACGCATGAAGTGGACACAGGCACACAAACACCACATGCAAAGATATGGACACACTGACGGGTACAGAGTCATACACACGCTCACACACAAACATAGACATGTACACAGAGAAACATGCATGCACGTGGACACAGGCGCACATGCAGAATGCACATAGACACATGCACAAATATGAACACACGCACACAAAAGCACACTTGCACATGGACACAGGCATACCCGGACATGCACACATATGGACACAGACACAGAGATTCATACGGTGAGCATAGGCACACCAACACCTGCACACAGACACACAGACACATATGCACTTGTACATACAGACACACAGGCATGTGTACATTTAAACACATGTACATGGGCATGTATACAGATGCATTAATGCATGTGCACAGGCACGTGAGTATATGTGGACATGTACACACAGGGACACAAGTGCACGTGGATACAGAGACACACATGCAGCAGCCATGGGCATACAGGCACTTGCACACGTGCACAGATGTGTGCAAAAGCATGGGCACATGTACATGGACACACAGATATATGCACACTCATATACATGCACACACACAGACACACATGGCTACTTGCACACTGAGACAAGTCATGGACACACAGGTGCACACTCGCACATGCACATAGATGTTTGCACAAATGGGCACATGCATGTACACACATTGACACATGCATGCACTTGTATGTCCACTCTGTATATCCTGGTCGCTCGGTGCCTTTGCAGACACCCCTGCCTCTCTGCACCTGCTGCAGGGCTTTCTGCCTGAGGCCTGCTTGTCCTCTGTCTCTGCTTGGAGGTGCATCCTTGGGCCACCCAGCCAGGACTCTGACCAGGGCCACCATCCCAGGCTCATGGCAAAGGGCTCAGCTGGCCTCCCTGGCTGGCTGGCTGCAGCTCCCCAGGGACACCTGGCCCCATGCAGGCTGTGGGTGAAGCAGCAGGACCCATGCCTTCTTGTGAACAGATAGAGCTGAGTGTGGCCTGCAGGCAGGGTGGCAGATCTGGAGGCTCTGCCCTAGTCAACACCCAGCCCCAGAAGTGTAGGGGCAAGGGATAGTCTGCAGCCAGGAGCAAGGGACTCAGTGGCCCTAGCGAGTCTCCATTCCCAGCACATGGCACTGTCACTTTTGGGCTACCTCCTAGACACCCCACATTTCTGGTCCTTTGAGGGCCTGGGCTCCAGACACCTCCAAAGTCTTGACTGTGTTGAAGGTTCTGGACCACACTCTGTCTGCCTGCCCATCCCAACATCACTAACCCTGGGGCCTCAGGTATCTGTCTGATCCCTAGGTCCCAGAGCCATGAACCCTAGTGGGACAGACCAGCCAGGGCCCCCCACAGCCTCCCTGCCATGACCTTCTTTCCAAGAAGGAGAGAGAGTGAATCCCCCTGAGGAAGCATGGAGGGGTCACTCTGCCCGCAAGGCCACCCCCAACCGTAGGTGACAGGAGGCTCTACTGCCAGCCTCTCCAGCCCCAGTGGCCCTGGTGGTCCTGCCCCCATCTCTAGCAGAGGCCACTGGGGTCCCCACCCCCGCCCCAGCCCTGCCACACATACCCCTTGTGTCTGAGCTGCTCGGTCACTGTCCCTGCACCCTGGGCTCCCAGGACAGGAGCCTCTGCCCAGCCCCCCAGGCCATCAGAGGCCCCTTCCTCCTGTCCCTTACCCTGCCCGGCCCTCCTGGGGCAGCACAGCTGGTGCTGAGGACAGCAGCTAGGGCTGGGCTGGGGGTGCGGGCAGAGCCTGATGCTGGCTGCATTGTGTCCCTGCAGAGGGGGAGGTGAGTGCCGAAGAGGAGGGCTTTGAGAACCTGAACACCACGGCCTCCACCTTCATCGTCCTCTTCCTGCTCAGCCTCTTCTACAGCACCACAGTCACCCTGTTCAAGGTAGGCAGGCGGGCAGGCTGGCAGCAGGCGCGGGGGCCCGGAGATGCCGTGGGGGAGCGCCTCATGCTGCCTCTGTCACCTGCAGGTGAAGTGACCCGCCGGACTGGAGAATGGACAGCAGAGAGCCGGAACCAAAGGGGCGCCTGCGACCTTGAGCCCAGGGCCCTTAAATCTGCCCGTGCCACCCCCAGCTTCCAACGCTACGGAGCGGCTTCTCGGCACAGGGCCCCATGCGGAGGGAGCGTGGGCCCGGGTGTCGCTTTGCAATGGATGCGCTTGTTGCCTTGGAATAAATATGTGTACATTTTATCTTGTGAAACTGCTTCCTCGTGGAGGGTTTTTTTTTCCCCCCTAAACCACACTCCTGTGTGTTGTGTGAGCATCCCCACAGGTGACCCCAATTCTGACAGGCGCTTGGGAAAGGGAGGTCCCCTCTGCACAGGCCAGGGCGGGGGCTGGCAGCCTGGGGAAGAGGACAGCCGAGCTGCGGGAATGCAGGCCCGGTCCCCCCAGCACGACCTCGGTGCAGCCGGGATCCGGCCTCCACATCACCAGCAGGGCCTGTGCCGGGGACACTGCAGGAAGTGCCGCCACTGTTGTTGTTCCTGGTGAGCCTGGCCGCTTCAAGGTCTTGACCCCCCACTCACAGAATGTATGGAGTGTGTCAGGGTGACACAGAGGGCAGAGAGTGACGGGTGACCAGTCAGGAACGTGCATGACAGGGAGACAGGACAGCAGGGAAAGGCTCTGTCCACCATGTCACCTACAGAAAGGCGGTGGCAGCTGGGCTCAGAAGCAATGGCAGGGCATTTGGTGCCAGGAGGCAGGAGCCACATGAAGGTGACATAGATGTGGAGGCGTGAGTTGGGGCTCAGTGGGCTGGGGACAGACAGCTGGCCAGCTGAGGGCCATGCAGAGCCCAGGACAGCTGTGGCAGCCAGGGTCTGGGCAGAGGCAACTCTGGAGAAGGTGGAGAGGAACTGGCAAGGCAGGGGCTCCTGGAGGTGATGAGGGCAGGAGTCAGAGGGCTCCTGACAAGCCAGTGTCTGGGAGAAGGCCACTTCAGGCACAGAGGAGCCGTGTGGAGCTCACAATGCTGGCTGTCACAGGGTGTCTGTGGCCTGGCACTGAAGTGGTGACTGACTGTCCAGAAGAGAATTGGAAAAGGACTTGGATCCCAAGGGGAATCGGACCCCAGCCGTGGGCTCCGGGTGGATAGTTTCAGGGCTCTGGCTCAGCTTCGGTTAAGTGGACACCCTCCTGGCCCAACCCCATGGGCTGGGGGACTCAGGCAGGACCCCTCAGGGAGCAAGGCAATGCAGCACGTCTCGGGGCTCTTGCACGGGCGTTGGCTGGCGGCTCAGGACAGCGCCTGGGATCATGTGTGAGGCTGCCATGACAAAGAGCCACAGACAAGGAAACATCCACAGCAGAAATTTATTGTCAGGTTCTGGAATCAGGTCCAGGTGCAGCCAGCTGGTTCCCCTGAAGTGCCATGTCCTGTCCCCTGGAAGTAGGAGTTGGGGACAGAAGGGTCCGATTCCACTGCTGCTCGGGGGACCACACGCAAGTCCAGCCACGCTGAGCCTCTCCTGATGGGCAGCTTGGGGCCCCAGGCCCTCAGCCAGAGCACACCCTGGACTGGGGCATTGTTCAGCAGATGCAGGGGGCTTAGAGCAGGAGATGCGCAGAGTAGGGAGCTTGGGGCCCACGGGATGGGACAAGGGCTGTCCGGGCCTGCTCTCCAGGGCTCTCTGGCCCCCGGGACCAGGCCCTGTCCCTCCAGCCACCCTGTGCCCCAAGAGGTTCCCAGCCCTCAGGAGCCCCACTCAGTCAGTCTTCCAGATGCAGCCATGCTCCCCATGGTCCTGGGGTGCAAAGCCCCAGATGAAGGCGGCCTGGTGATGCTGGCCTGCTTGGTGACAGAGTCCATCCAACTGGTCACCCGGTACTCAGGGGACCAGGAACTGCCCACAGATAGCCCCTGACCATGCAGAAGAAGCAGGAGTCACCCACCTCTCCCTCCTGACCATCTTCTGGAAGCCCAGGCCTCACAGTTTCAACATTGGTCACATTTCCAAGACCTGCCAGTGGCCTCCAGGATAGCATGTCCAGCATCTGCCACCCAGGGCCTGACCCCAAGGACTGAAGCAGGGACCTGGGCCCCAACCAGAGGCCGGGAGAAGCCCCAGAGCAGCTCCCTATCCCCGCTCCACCCTCAGCCGCCCTGTCTCCAGCATTGGAATCCGGTGCTCTGGCCCCTGTCCCCAGAGTGCAGGAGGCAGTGCTGAGTGTGAGGAGGCCCCGGCCCAGCCCCCATGTGCCCGCCCCGCCTGCATCCATAGTGCTCTGCCCTCTGCTCCCCTGATTTTAGCATGTTGGGAAACGCAGACCCCTCTGTGACCGCTGTGCCACCCTGCCAAAGGGCTCCACCCCAGCTCCCACCACAGCCACAGGCCGAGCTGAGGAGCCTCCGTGCCAGCACAGCCCCACCTGCCCGCCCATGCCTCTTGCTGCCTCCTGCAGGCAGCCTTCCATGACTTCTGGGAGTCTTCAAGTCACCCCCTGGTCAGAAAGGGCAGGGCCCTGAACTTACGGCTACCAAGCACCTACTGTGTGCCACCCAGTCTCCTCGTGTGCCAGGGACCCATCCAGGTCAGGCTGCAAGGAGCACTGTGGACAAGGCAGGGCCACAGGAACCATGAGCTCCATTTGGGGGGCTCTTGGGGGCATGCATTGCTCCCACCCTTAGAGAACTGCATGGCGCTGCCTGTGGGCCGGGCCTGGCGGTGCTACCAGTGCCTGCGCCAAGGGAGGAGGGTCCCCGCTGCCTGGAGCAAGTGGCGAGTGAGCCCTGGGAGAGGCGTGCTGGGCAGCAGTGGGCCCGGCCTGCTGTGGCTCCCCCGCAGCAGGGCTGCTGCCTGGACGGCCGCGCCTGCAAGGGTTTGCTCCTGCTGTGGCCCCGCGGCCCCCTGAAACACTGCTGTCCCCTGGGCTGCTGCAGGCCTGTGGCCCAATAACTTGTTGGCCGTTGATGCCCTAAACCATCAAGATGCTTGCTCTGCGATGCTCCTCGAGCACTTGGGTGACAGGGTCCCTCCAGAGCCAGAAGGCGCACTCAGGGAACACCGATGAGGGATGCCTGGCCCTCGGGGTTTGGGAAGACAGAGCTGCACCCTCACAGGCCGGGGGCAATGGGAGGCCTCAGCCCCAACCACAGGGGGACCAGAAGGAGACCCTGCTTCACCCATGTGCCCCCCGGCCATGCACAGACAGAAGCTGGGATGGTGGGGAGCCCAGTGACCACCTTCCCCAGAGGTCAGTCCCTTGGGCACAGACTAGGGGGTCAGGGCCTCATGTGCCCTCTCTCAGCAACCCCTCTGGCCACCTCTCCCCAAGAGGACACACACTCTCCAAAGTCTGGAGGTGGTCTTGGTATGACCACAGCAGGGATTTGAGGACAAGATGCCCTTCCAGGGTGCCCACTGGCATCAGACAGGGACTGAGCAGAGCCAGGTAAACCATGACAGAGGGCGGTGGAATGGGTGCTGGCCCAGGCTGAAGGAGCTGCTGGGGCTCTGAGAGAGTGTTGTGATGGGCCCCTCAGCCACAGCCCTCCTGGAGGACAGGCACTGGGTGGCCACTCAAGGAGGGATGGGAGGGAGAGTTCCTGGCTCACTGGGCACATGGGACCAGGGGAGAGGATCCTGGGCCTGTCCTCCAGAGGAGAAGCAAGGCCCTGGCTGAGTCTTGTCCTGCTCCTGACCCCTCTGCTCTGCACCCCTCTGGCTGCCAGCCCCCCGACCCCGGGGCCCTGCTCAGGTGACGTGGCCCTGAAGGCAGACACCATCGCCACAGAGAAGCCGAGCTGCATGTAGCCAGAGGGCCAGGGCCCCCCCAACTCTGCCTGGATGGAGACACTGCCACCAACCCGGTCCTGCAGAGCCAGGTCCTGACTCGGGCACCTCCACCTCCTGTGCTCTGGCTGGATCCATGAGCAGCGGTGGCTCCTTGCACCTGCTTCTCCTTCCGACCCTGCCTCAGGCTCTACCTCCAGGCACAGGGCCAGGGAGCTGAGAGTCCGTACACAGCAGGGGCTGCCACGTGAGCACTGGGGCACGCGGCTGCGGTGGGCTGGGAGGCCCTGCTGCACGCCGAGCCTGTGTGCAGACTCACACTGCGGGGGCAAGGTGCGCATGCACACACGCACAGCTCATGCGAGCATGCATGCACACATGCATAGGCAGGCTGACTTGGTACACATGCAGATGCATGTGTGTGCTCACACACAAGGCCACCTGTGCCGGTCTGCAGGCAACACACAGGTTGCACACACACAACTCACATGTCCCTGGAAACGGGCCATTCAGGCCGTGGTGCTGAGACATGTCTCCCCTGTCTCAGCGTCCGGGTCGCCACGGAGAAGCGTGCACTTCATGCGGTGCTGCTGGCTGTCACGGGAATGTCCACAGGCCAAGGGCTGTGGTGCCTCTGGAAGCTGGTAAAGGCCAACTGGATTCTCCGCGGAGCCTGTGGGTGGTTCAGCCCCACCACACTCTGAACATGGCCCAACCAGGCTGTGAGAGGATAGGCTGGTGGTAATTTGCTCCAGCAGCCATGGAAAATAAGCACAGCGCTGTCCCTCCTTGCCGTCCCATCCCCTCCAGGGTGCCCACCCTACCCTTGACTCCGGCCATCTCCCCAGAGAGCCAATCCCCCCACCACCACCATCCCAGTCTCCTTGGCCTGGTCGAGCTGCCTCCGTGCCCTGTGGCCCAGGGTCACATCCACTGGGTCTCCCCTCCACCCACCCCTGGGGGTCATCACTGAGGCACCACCCCCAGGCCTCCTGTCTCCGTACCCCACTGCTGTCCTCAACGGGCTGTCCCAGATTCTGAGGCTCCACTGTCGCCAGCTCCAGGTCTGTGTGAAGCTCCAACTGCCCTGAAGAAATCCCCAGGCCTCGGGTCCCACCTCCCTGGGCTTCTTTCTGCGTCCTTCCAGCACATTCTATCGCTCATTTATTACACCTGTCGGCTATTCTGTCTCACCTAGAAAGGTGCTTCCATAAGCACAGGCTCTTTGTTGCTCTCTGACAGCCCCTGGCAGGTGGGGCCCAGCCAGCAGGTAGGATGGAGGTGGCAGGTGGGACCCAGTCAGCAGGTAGCACAGCATCAGCAGGTAGAAGGCATTCAGCACTCACCAGTGAGTGAGTAGGTGTCACCGATGCCTTGAGCTTCAGCCCCCGCCTCGCGTCTGCCTTCCCCGCCACGTTCTCCTCACCTGTCGTAGATGCACCCACTGCTGCACTCGCACCATCGCGTCCCTCTGAAGTCCACCTTGCCCACTCTGCCGTCCCAGTGAATGATCACCCGCCACAGGCACCCTCGGCCCTCGACCCGTCCTGTGCCCGGCCAACCTCCTGCTCCAGGTCTCACGACACAGTGCAGCCCATCACCTCCAGCCTGGAGCTCCTGGCAGCCCTGCCGGCCTCCTGGTTGCCCCCTCTGCACCCATGGCCAGTATGGCCTTTTTAAACTCAAACCAACCTGGCAGCCCCCACACAAGCCCATCAGGGGGCTCCCGTCATAGCAGGGTGAAATCAAAGCTCATCCAGCCCAGCCTGTGGCCTGTGGGGCCAGGAGCCAGGCCTGGCCACACCACCTCCTTTTGTCCACAGGCCTGCTCTTCTCTGTGTGTCCCTGTGGCCTTGCCTGCCTCCCAGACTCCACGCTGGGCCCCATGAGAGGAGGATGCTGTGCGCCCAGGACCCACACCCACAGAGGGAATGCATGAAGGAATGGAAGGAGAGAGGGAGGGGGAAGGGCTCTGCCTGGGGGCTGAGAGGTCTCAGAGCCTCAAAGGTGGCAGTGCTGGAGCCTTCTGCCCTAAGCCACATCCTGCAGCTCCCCAACACAGAGGAGCCCCTGTGCAATCACAGCTGTCCCCAAGGGGGTGGCTCCTGGATTTTTGCTCTGTCCTTGGATGTGCACCATGGAGCCTCATCCACAGGGCCCTGGGAGGCCAGGAGGGAACCAGGCACCAAAGCCCAAGGCCCGTGGATCTTCTGGGTGCTGGCTGGGCCCAGGGGGACTGTACTGGAGCCTCATTCTGTCTGGGAAACACTTATAAAACATCCTCTAACACCTGGCAAGAAGCACATTGTCATCAACGCAACCTGACTCGCACACCTTTCCGGGGCCGAAGCACCACCAGCCCAGGCCGGGCCTTGCCTGAAGCCCCTGCCCAGCCAGCACCTCCAAGCTGGTAGGGTGGTCTCGTGCCCTTCCCCCAGTTTCCACAGGAAGAGCTAGGGGCTGCCTTCCCACATGACTTCCCCTTTTGGTCTCCAGTAAACATCAGTTGGTTTCTGCCCAACTACAGGAATCAATCTGCGGGAGGCATGTGACAACCCCCATGGGCCCCCGGTGCCCCATTTCCCTTCACAGAACCGTGTGTGGCCTTCCCCCACTCGCTGCGGCCACAGGCTTTTACTCAGCGCTGCGACAGGCAGGCGAGGGTGGCCTCCCCCACAGGTGCTGCAGCTTCCGTGCCAGGAGCCACCTCTTGGAAAGAAACATCTGTTTCCCACAGTTGTAACCAGCAGGACGCACCCCCTCACCTGAATCGAGACCTGACAAGCCTGTTCTGCAGTGCGGGACTTACCGTCCGGCCCCTCTTTCTTGCTGCGGGGCAGATCTGAGCCTATCCTGTCCCCTGAGCTTGTGTGCCGGGCAGGATCTGAGCAGAAACCAGCCTGCGTTCTCTGACCAAGGCCTGGATTCCCACCCCTGACCCCCAATGGCCTGTGTTTGATGAGTTTATTCAGAAGACGAGGGGCTGGGACAAGACCTCAGAGGACAGGCAGAGACTGGAGGAGCAGAGACAGGGTCCGTGCCCTCGCTGTCATAGCGAGCCTTCCAGGGCCGCATCGACGCGCACCGATCACTAGACCAAGGCGGTTACAGGCAAATACGGACTCTTGCAGTAAATCAGAGCTTTGTCAGAGTGCTGCCAAGGCCAGGAACTTTAAAAATAAAACTGATAAATTTGCCTACAAAAATTTCAACATGTATAGGAGTAAGGTTACCATAAACAAAGTAAAATGCTATGGGAGAGAAAGTGGTCAAAGAGCCAGACATCAAAAGGAATCTGCATTAGGCAGGATTGTTCAGAGATGAGAAAATACATGAGGTCAAAGATGGATCGATAGACTCATGACAGCTAGATCAATGATAGATAAGTAGATGCATATATACAGAGGGAGGAGAGGAGAATGATTGATTTTGAGGACTTGGCTCATGCGATTGTGAAGTCTGGGTGAGTCCGAAGTCTGTAAGGCAGACCAGCAGACCAGAGACCGAGGGAAGAGTTACTTCCCCAGGGAGCCTCAGTCTTTTTCCTCTTCAGGCTCTCAGCTGATCAGATGAGGCTCAGCCACATCACGGAGGGCAATTGGCTTCACTCAGCATCTACTGTTTCAAGACTCAATCCCACCTTTAGTACACCTCTACTCTCTGGACTAGTGCCTGACCAAATGCCTGGGTTCAGGGACCTCTCTAAGCTACCCCATAAAGTCAGCCACCACAGAGTCCTAGAGAATGAGCATTGGAAACACACAATGAGTGGGACAAACCTGACCTTGAAGGAGAAGTCTTGGGGGCAAAGTGGGCAGGAAAAGGTCATTGCCAGTGGGTTGTAAATACAGATGACCAATGAAACACATGAGGTTGTTGAGTTGCAAATAATCAAAGAAAACTGACTTCAAACCACTGGCCATTCATTCATTGATGACCCACTGTGTGCTGAGCAGGTGTCCATGAGGACAGACACACAGTGTGCCTGCACTGTGGCACTTTCGTCCTGCTGGTGGAGGTGCAACCCAACTAAAAACAAACCAATGGCTGGTGAGACAGCAGATGCCAGATGTGGACAGAAGTGCCAATACCAGGTGTGCTTAAAAGACAGATGCCCAGGGTCCTTTAGGAGGTGACTTTGGCCTCAGGGTCAGCACGGGGTGAGAGGAGGCACATTTCAAGTAGAAGGAGAAGAAGGTGCAAAGGTCCTGGGGCAGGGATGTGCTTCGCAAGTTCAAGAGGCAGCAGGAAGACCAGTGGGGCACTGTGAGCAGGTGGGGAGAGAGAACAGGGCCGGCCTCGTGAGGGTGCACCTGGCTTGTTGGTCTTCACTCTGAGTGATGGGAAGCCTGAGGGTTCTTGGCAGGGGTGAGTGCCGAAGTCCAGGAGGGAGACAGGCTGAGGGGATAGGGTGGGGCTCTGGGACAGGAGCTCAGATCATGTACATTCCTGGAAAGCAGGACATATGGGTATGCAGAGTGGCACGTCACTGCCCGAATGGCCATTTACTGAGCTTGGGTACTCTAGAATTCTCCTTTCAGCATGACTGGTGTGAGCTGCTGGGATGGGACGCAGCTCCAAGACAGGTCTTGGGAAGAAGTCAGAGAGGAAGACCAGACTTGGCAGCCGTCGGCACATGGGAGGCATCTATACTCCCAGGAAGGGCTGGATGACCAAGGAGGGGGAGAGGAAAGAAGAGAAGCTAGAGGTGAGAGGCCGGGGGAGGGGAGAACTCATCCACCAAGGACAGAGAGTAGGACTCAGAGAAGGGCCAGGCAGAGCCAGGCACAGAGCAGAAGAGCCAAGGGCAGAGAGGGTCCTGCTGTGTCCAGGGCTTCTGGTAGGTCTGGTCATGGGCCTGGCAAAGTGCAGGTTGTGGTGACCACCCAAGAGCAGGCTTGATGGCAAGGTGGAGTCAAGGCCAGACCTGAGTGGGCTCAGAGGATGGACAGGCCAAGCACTCAGGCGCACAGCCACCGGCATGTCCAGCAGGGACTACAGGGTTCTGCCCCAGAGTCCAAGGAGCCCCCGCTCCACCCACCATGCCATGCACCCACGGGGACTGACAGTCTGCTGTGGCCTGGGTCACAAGGCACTAACTGTCAGCACACTTAAAGGTCAAATCAACTGCTCTACACACCTCATGGTCACATCAGGAGAGAAGTTGGTGGCCTTAAAGGTTTGGAAAGGACAAAATACCAAATTTGAAAGTTGGTAAAAGAACAACAAAATAAACCTAAAGACAGAAAGAAGGAGATAATAATTATATGAGCAAAAAAAATCAATAAAAAATAAGAAAAGAAACAACAGAGATGCAAAACAGGAAAAGCTCTGAGGAGACTGGTCAAAAGGAAAAAAAAGACAGAAAGACAGCCAAAATATATATATATATATATATATATATATATATATATATATATATATATATAATTACAGTTCCATATAATTACTCACTGATGAAGGTAATAAGAGTAAGTAATAAATGTACTTCACTAATAGGTAAAATTTTTAAATCCTAGAAAAGTATCTTATCAAAAAATGACTCAGGAAGAGAAAACTCATTAGTACCACATTTATTATATAAATTGAAGCAGTAGTTTAAGATGCCAGGGCCATGTTTCATCAAATTTTCAAGAAATATATTGTTCAAACTTCTTACAAATGCTTTCAAAAAGTGAAGAAGAGAGAATAACCCCAACCTCATCCTATAAAGTGAGAACAAGCTTCATCAGGAACCAGACAAGGAAAATTACAGCACAATCTCACTCATGAAAATAGATACAAATATTCTGAGGAAAATATTAGCAAATAATTTTCTTCTTTATAAAAACCAGGTAATTTGCCATGTCCGTGTTTGGTTTATCCCCAAAATACAATAGTTTAACATTGGAAAATGTATACATGTCATTCAAAACATTAACATACAAAATGAGAAAAATCATAGGGTCATCTCAAAAAAACAGAAAAAAACTTGAAAGAAATTAACACTTTTATGACATAAAACTTTTTTGTAAGTTAAAAATACAATGGAATTTCTTTGACCTGACAAAGTCTATGAAACTTTAAAATTTTTCTCCATGAGAAGTACTTGGAAGCAACACTGTACTGGAGGGGTTTTTTTAAAAAAATAAAATTATTTATTTACTGTTAGAAAGGAGAAGGGACAGAGAAAGAAAGAGAGAAACATCAATTTGTGCTGCCTCTTGTGCCTCACCCCTGAGGACCTGGCCCACAACCCAGGAATGTGCCCTGACTGGGAATCGAACCGGG